TGGTAACGTGTTGATAAGTTACTACAATTAAACTATTACTCCATTGATTCGAATTTTAGATCTTATCTCACTAGCACTTAAGGCATTGTTTGAAACATGGCTTTTTAGATTAAAAAAAAATGGCACTTACAACATAATTTCATTTTTGAAATTTTTAATTATTAGGTCCAAACTCTAATCTCTTTAGGTTAAAAGGGCACAATTTGTCCAAAAGGACAACTATATATTGAAATCAACCCATATGTCTATCTGTTAAAATCAGCATATCTGTCTATCTATTGAAATTCACCAAACTGACTATCTGTGACATTAAACACATGTCACTCATTCGACATTTTGTCTGTTGAATATCATATATTTCTATACGTCACCACCACCACCTGCTATCCTCAGTCGCCGCTAACTTTTCCGACTTTTCACTAATTTTCTCTAAAAAAATGACCCAAAAAAACTATATATATAAATAAATAAGTTAAAAAGCCATTAAAAATGATAAAAAGATTAAAAAGTTACATAAAATAAATTATACACTCCAGACATTTACATTGATTGATACAATTAAAAAAATCATTTCCAAACACAATGAATCTGAAAAACATTGTCAAATTTCAATTTTAAATTTAAATTTAAAAGAGACACAACGTATTAAAAAATATATAAATTGGTAAATATGTGAGCTAAATATAAAAATTACACATTCGGCAAATAGAGCGCACCCAAACCCATCATTGATGGGCCCAAATCTAACCAGACCTACTGGATTACAGAAGTTTGACGTCGAACAACCTCTTCGCTGACCAGGTGACACATTGAGCAAGTAATGCTGATAGAATCGGCGAACATTCATGCCAAATACCAACGGGAGTTCGGTATTCTGGCCCAATCAAAGTGGGCCCAACCATCCTTTTTCCGGTGGTGTAATAGGGACTTGGGTTCTGACATTGTAATGATCATGATAAAAAGATCAAATTATATAGGAAATATCTGCACCAAACCTCTATAAAAGAAAGGTAAATAGAAGAAGAAAAGTATGCATAATCACTAAAATTTACCCTACTCTCTGAATACCTAACCCATTCTCTCTCAACCAATCTCTAACTTGACTGTCAGAGTGTTAATGAATAGATTTTTTTCCATATTAAATTTAAATTAATAGATTACTTTAAATATTGTGTAAATTTTAAATTTAAATTAATAGATTACTTTCCATATTTAGTGATTCTCAAATTTGAATTTTGAAAAGGATTAGTATACTTTCATTTTTTTTTGGATATACTTTCTATTTAAAAGTCATAAATTAAGGGATATTAATTTATTTTATTTTATTTTTTTGCTTGAATAAGAGCTAACCAATAAAAGATTTTCTTAATTTTTAAAAATCAAAAAATTATGAAATTTAGATTGAAAACTTTGAGCTCTTAGAGGTTTTGTGGGTTAGAAACTCCATTTTGCTTATATAATATACAGATAATAATGGTCGTAAATATTATTATTTTGGTAAGATATTGACTTTAGTCGTATACGTAAGTATGAATTTATAATTTCTTTAGCTTGTTAAGGTTCATGAACATGCCTGAACTTGAGTCAAGCTTAAGTTAATTTGGCTCGAGCTAGGTTCATTAAATTTTTATTGAGCTCAAGTTCAAACTTGTTAAAATCTTAATAAACAAACCCAAACATACTAAAACTTGGTTTGACACGACTCAATTCGTTTGCAGCCTATATACTTTAATTTGGGTTGAGTTGGGTTGAGGTGGGTGTATAAATTGATTAACGTGCACATCTATCTATCTATCTATCTATCTATCTATGATATAAGTAAAATGATATTTTTAGTGTGGAGTTTTGTGAGAGTTACAATATTTCATACAAATTTTCTTAATTTTTTAAATTTTAAATAATTAAAAACATCTCGATTGACTAACTTACATTTAACCATACAAAAATAAAACTCTAATTAGTTTTTGATTTATTTGATAATGTCACATCGGAAAAATAAAGAAAAAGTAAGTTGTTTTACTTATACAAAGTGAATCTTATATTCTCATTTAATATTATAGTATTGTGCATGTTTCAATTCAATGTAGTTTAAATTTTAAAATAAAATTTAAAACTTTTAATTAATTAATTTTTATGTAAGTTGGTTGATCTAATTAAGCTGAATCATTTTTGATTTGACTGATTCGTTGGTTTAATCGCGATTTTAATTTTTTTTTTCAAAATTTATTGGTTAGATTTGTTTGGTTTGAAATAAACTAAAGATTTATCTGATTAAAGATTGAACGATTGAGATTATTTAATTAGAAATAAAATTTCTACTTAAACAATTGTTAACTTTTATTTTATAATCCCACATCGGGAAATGAAAAAAAAACACGAGTTGTTTTACTTATATAAAATGAATCTTATACACCCATCTAATATTGTAGTATTGTACGTAATTCAATTCATGACAGTTTAAATTTTAAAATTAAAATAATATTTAAAAGTTATAATTAATTAATTTTTATATAAGTTGATCAGCTTTTTGACCTAATCGGTTAGGCTGAACCATTTTCAGTTTAACTGATTTTTCGGTTTAACCGCGATTTCTCCTACTAATTTTCTTAATTAAAAAAAATCTCAAGTAGCTCACTTCCATTTAACTAAATAAAAATAAAACTCTAATTAGTATATGATTTATTTTATAATACCACATCGGAAAAAGAAAAAAAAAAGAGTTGTTTCATTTATATAAAATGAATCTTATACTCCCATTTAATATTGTAATATTGTGCATAGTTCAGTTTAAGACATATAGTTTAAATTTTAAATAACTCTAATTAGTATATGATTTATTTTATAATCCTACATTGGGAGAAAAAGGAAAAAGTGAGTTGTTTCACTTATATAAAGTGAATTTTTATACTCTCATATTGGTTGGTCTTTTGACCTAGCCGATTAGGCTGAATCATTTTCGATTTGACTGATTCACTGGTTTAATTGCGATTTTAACGATTTTATCAAAATATATTGGTCAGATTTGTATGATTCGAAATAAACTAAAGATTGACTTGATTAAAGATTGAACGACTGATTGCTTGATTAGAAATAAATTTCCTGCCCAAATAATTGTTAACTTTTATTTTACAATCTCACATCAGGAAAGAAGAAAAAAGTGAGTTGTTTTACTTATATAAAGTAACATATGCTCCCATTTAATATTGTATTGTTATGCATATTTCAGTTAAAGACAGTTTAAATTTTAAAATAAAATAAAATTTAAAAGTTTTAATTAATTAATTTTTGTGTAAGTTGGTTGGTCTTTTGACCGATTTTAATGATTTTATCAAAAAATATATATTGTTTTATTTCTAAAAGATATGTTTAAGTTTTATGACAAACTTTAGACTAAATTACAAACACACCCTCCGAGGTTTACCTAATTTACAAATTGCCCTGTGGTTCTAGAAATTATATTATGGCCCTGTTTGGTAGAGCTGTGTGAAAGTGATTACAACTTATAGCCTAACAGCTTATAGCTTATAGCTGTGAACATAAGCTGATTTTTTACTTATAAATTAAGCTTCTTCTGCCCCACTCAAAGAATAAGTTGATTTTTGACTTACAAAAAGCTATAAGCTGTATTGTTAAGCTGAACCAAACACGTCAAAATAGTTTAAATTAAGCTAAAAACTGAAATAAGTTGGAAATAAGCCCTACCAAACAGGGCCTATGTCCCTTAAGATTTTTAATTTCATAACAAATATGTCTTTTTATTAATAAATCATCAAGTTAATTAACAGTTTTTAATAATGTTAAAATTTTATTTGAATTAATAATTCAAATAATTTTAGGGATTGTTTGGGATGTTCTAAATAAGTATACTTTTTGACTTTTTATAAAATATAGGTTGTGTTTGAAGTGATGTAGTAGAGATGTGATATGACTTAAATAAAATGATGTGACTTAAATATGATAGTGATTTTTTAACTTTTTTAAGACACCCCAAACCAGGCCTTATTATTGTATAGATGAATGGTTAGAAATTTCACATGTTCAATTAATTCTATTAAATAAAAAATTTTGACATTGAGGTATTTGTAATTTTTCAAATCATAGGGGGTAATTCATATTTTAAGCAAACCACAGTGAGTGTATTTGTAATTTACCCCAAACTTTAATATAGAATAAACTAAAATTAAAAAATTTATAAAACGAAATTTATTTTTATTTTATCATAAATATACTTTTTTTTTAATTTATTCTATTTTTTTTTACCAATTAAATTATGACATCTATTTCTTATTACAAACTTAGGTTATGTTTGGCATGCTCATTTGGGCTAAAATAATCATATAAGACAAAATTGGCTATTTTAGTCAAATAAGACAAAATTTCACATTCAAATCATAATCATTTTATATTTTCTCTCACAAAATTCAAAAACGCCAAAAAGCCTATCCTAAACGAAATTTTTTAGTCCTAGACTAAAATAGTTAAAAAGTCAATCCACATTACAAATGAATGCTTAAAATATACAATTAATGACATAATAATTACAATATATATTTTAATAAAATAGTTAAATTTAATTCATTTTAAATTATTATTTTTATACTTTTTAAATAAACTTTATATTACTATTTTAATTTTAAAATTATTTTTAATTATTTATTTAGCTCGTGCGGCGCACGGTTCAGATGCTAGTTGTTGTAAATTGTGAGGATGGAGGAGTACTAATAGTAGAGTCCATTCGTTCTTCAACTTTGCGTACTTTCACAACGCCATCGACAGCTATCCATACACACCCTTTCCCTCTCTCTCTATATCTCTCTAGACTTTGTTTTTGTTTTTGTTTTGGTTTTGGTTTTGGTTTTGGTTTTGTAAAGACCAAAACGATGACTCTTTCTTCTAGGGTTTCCACTGCAGATAATACTATATAAATCTCAATCCACCATTAAGCTCATACTCGCCTCTCATCTTCTTGTGTGTGTGTGTCTCTCTCTGCGTCTCTGAAGATGGGAAGCAATAAAGGAATCAGTCTCGAGGAGATCAAAAACGAGTCTGTCGATCTGGTATCGTTTCCTCTTCTTCTTCTTCTTCTTCTTCTTCTTCTTCTTCTTCTTCTTCTTCTTTCTCTCGCTCTTCATGCATAACTTCTATACGTATTTTTCTTCTTATCTCTATGTTACATATAAAATACAGATAGCGATTTGTTAGTCAGCTTCTCTCGATTTTGTTTTTATCAATGGCGCCTAAATTTTTTACTACTTTTATATACATGTTGATCAATATCTACGGCAAAAAGCCCCGATTGCCTGAAGTTTACGCTTCTCTCTTTCTCTCTGTTCGTGTTGATGAACAGTAATTATCTAATATATACATATATATATATATATATATAACTGGAATTCTAAATCTTAATTTACCTTTCGTTTTTGAGTATAATTCAGTTAAAGAACTAAGAATTAAGTTGCAATTTATAGTGGATTTCATTTCTTATTCATCAACAGATTTCGAATAAGCCTTAATATACTCTTCTGTATCTTTATGTAGTGTAAATTGCTTGTATATATATGTATGCATAGAGTTGTGCTTCTAGGTGTCAGGTTTAATATGCGCTACTTAGGTTATATTTCTATAAGGCGGTGGTCCTGACTTCAAATAGAAATTTTACAAGTGAACGCTGAGATTAGTTGGTATAAATTTTCAAAATTGATTGAGACGCGTGTAAATTGACTCCGAACAATTAATTGTCACACATATATATATAGCGTCGGCCGTTTGGGTTGTATAACAGCAGTGGGTGTCGTATACCTACCGCCAGACTTTGATTATTTATATAATAATTATGTGATATTTTAAAAAGTTGATAAAAAATTAATTTTTTTGGTTTTTTGACGACTTTTTTAACTTAAAAAGTTATTTTTTTTATGTAAAAAAAAAAAGAAGTTCAAAAAATTGATGTTTTGTTAAGTTTCCAAATTGCCCTATAATTGAGGAGAAGGAGGAGGAGATTCCGTGATACGGTTTCATTCACGTGACGGAACAAAGTGCCGTGCTGATTCACGCTTCTTTCTTCTAATAAAATCTGAACTCTTGCGTTGACCAACGACTTTTTTTTGTTATTTTTTGAAAATATGAAATATATATATATAATTTTTTTAAAAAAATGAAAAGTGAAAAAATAATTTCAAATAAAGTGTTTCATTGACTAGTTTGGTGCAAGTATTAGGGGTTGTTTGAGATGACCTAAATAAGTGTATTTTTTTGTCTTTTTACGAAAAGATATGCAAAAAATTGATGGAAAAAAGATAAAAAGATGGATTATATTGGGGTTGCCAAACTTGGCCTTAATTTCAAATAAATAATAAGTATATTTGGAATATTGTTTATTTTTAGATTTCTTTAAAAAATATTTTGAAACTAGTCAAAATTGTTTTCTTTCCTTATTTTATTTTATTTTTGTTAGACCCATTTGATTTTTTTTTTCCTCCACATCTCACCTTCTCTACTTTTGATTTTATTCTTTTAGACCAAATTTAGATCATGATTTGGATAGATAGAAAAAAAATTATTTTTGTTTTCCTCTTTTTTTCTTTTCATTTCTATTCAAATTTATAATTCGAAGATGACTTTAAAATGTTTCACATATATTGTAATTATTGATTTGGAATACTTCAAAAGAGTGAAATAAAATTGGTATTGGTTAACACTTGGAAACAATAATCATTGAGTACTTTTTCTTTTATTATTATTTTTTCTATGACCAGTATATTTTTTCTATAATTTTTATTTTTTAAATATATTAATTTTTTCACATTCATATGTTGATTTTTTTTCCCCTCCTTTTGTGTTTTGTGATTTTGTGGATCTCCTTTATACATGGCTACATGCCTGCAAAAAAGTAACACAACAAATTTATTTTTTACATAAAGTGTATCATGAAAAACCATGCTTGATATAAATTTAATTGTTTTATAATGGATTCTACATTTAGGGGTTGTGTAGAATGATCTAAATAAGTATATTTTTTGTCTTTTTACGAAAAGATGTGCAGAAAAGTAGAGAGGTGATGTGATAGAAAAAAGATAAAAAGATAAAAAGATAAAAAGTGTGTACTTATTTAGGATAGTCAAACTTGGCCGTAGGCTTCTTTGGTAAGTAATTTTTTAACAGAAAAGGTCAAAAAAATTATTAAAAATATTAAAAAGTTATATAAGAAATTTTTTTTTTTTCGTTCTTATTACTTTTTACCCTCTCTTTTTTAAAAAGTCAGAAAGACATTTTCAAAAATTTCTATATTTTCATTTCATTTTAATAAAAAAGCAAAAGAAAATTAAAATATTTGAGAATAAGTTATTTGATTTTTTTATTAAAATTACGTTTTATTTTTGGTAAGAAAATGTTCTCTAGTGGGGGTCGGTAACTTTGGTACTTTTGCCATTTGCTTCCGCTTTGGACGGTGTGAGTGAGTTGACTACGCTTCCGTACTTGGTAGTACTAATACTTTCACCCTCTTTTATTTTGGAGCAATGATAGACCCCTTAATTTCAGGTCTGGTTTATTTTTAGAAGTAGAATAGAGTAGATATATAATGAGAAGATTATTAGTGAAAGAATTAAGTAAAATTATATTTATTTTGATAATAGTTGTTAGTGTAAGAATTGTTAAATTATTTTTATATAAAATAATAAAACAAATAAAAAAATATAAAAAAATTAAACATTAATGTTTAAAAAAAAATTTCCAATATGTAAAAAATAAAAAAAATAAAAAAATTTCTAATCCCCTCACTATTTTTCTAATACCACCTCTACCTCCTCCATTCTAATCCCCTTTCCAACATCTATTTTAATCCCCTCCTCTATCCTAATCCCTTCTCCAACTCTACAGACAAACACAACACAAATAACTCCACTACTATCCTAATCCCCTCCCATCCATTACACCCCAAAACAAACGGGGCCTTAAGCCTCTAATTAAGCTCTAATAATATAGCAAGAAATAAAAAAAATAAAAAATAAAAAATAAAAATAAAAAAAATAAAAAGAGGACTAAAACATCCCATCACAATAAGACCCATTACACGTTGGGTAGAAATATGAAACATCTGGCAGATGATTTTATTATATTTGTTTTCAAAAAATGAACTACCTATATCATGAAAAACATGCTTTCCATAAGTAAACAAAAATGATAGCATGATTTGATTACAATTATGCAGGAACGAATTCCTGTAGATGAAGTGTTTGAGCAGTTAAAATGTACAAGGGAAGGTTTATCATCAGAGGAAGGAGCCAGCCGCCTTCAAATATTTGGACCAAACAAACTAGAGGAGAAAAAGGTCAGATTTAGAGACTAGTGTTTCAATTCTTCTATTTCTTTAGGGCATTAATTAATTAATATAGTATAATATATGTATGATGGTTGGATAATAATAATAATTGAAAAACAGGAGAGCAAGATTCTCAAGTTTTTGGGGTTTATGTGGAACCCATTGTCATGGGTCATGGAAATTGCTGCTTTGATGGCAATTGCTCTAGCAAATGGTGGTGGGAAACCTCCAGACTGGCAGGATTTCGTAGGCATCATCGTGTTATTGGTTATCAACTCCACAATCAGTTTTATAGAAGAAAACAATGCTGGCAATGCGGCAGCTGCCCTTATGGCTGGCCTTGCTCCCAAAACTAAAGTACATTTATACTATTCTTGAACTCAGAAACTTTCCTTCGTTAGTTTTGTTGTTGTTGTATTTGTGGTAATAAAAATTAATTAATTAATTAATTAGGTTCTGAGAGATGGTCGATGGAGCGAGCAGGATGCATCTATTCTAGTTCCAGGGGACATCATAAGCATCAAATTGGGAGATATAATTCCAGCGGATGCACGTTTGTTAGAGGGTGATCCGCTGAAGATTGATCAGTCTGCTTTGACTGGAGAATCACTGGCTGTCACCAAAAACCCCTCGGACGAGGTATTCTCTGGTTCTACCTGCAAACAGGGGGAAATTGAAGCAGTTGTAATTGCTACCGGTGTTCACACTTTCTTTGGTAAGGCTGCTCATCTAGTTGATAGCACCAACCAAGTGGGACACTTTCAAAAAGTCCTCACTGCTATCGGTAACTTCTGCATTTGCTCAATTTTTGTTGGGATTCTTGCTGAGCTTATAGTCATGTACCCGATACAGCACCGCAAGTACAGGGATGGAATTGACAATTTACTGGTTCTCTTGATTGGAGGAATTCCAATTGCTATGCCAACTGTTTTGTCTGTCACCATGGCTATTGGTTCCCACAGGCTTTCTCAACAGGGTGCCATCACCAAGAGAATGACTGCTATTGAGGAAATGGCAGGAATGGATGTTCTCTGCAGTGATAAGACCGGGACACTTACTCTAAACAAGCTAACAGTTGACAGAAACCTCATTGAGGTGTTTGCAAAGGGTGTCGACAGAGACCTAGTGATTCTGCTCGCTGCAAGGGCTTCAAGGACTGAAAATCAGGATGCAATTGACGCTGCCATTGTTGGAATGCTGGCGGACCCTAAGGAGGTATAAATTTCACAAAGTATTTCTTTATTTCTTTTATCCTTCTCTTTTTTTGGCATTTTTTAATTCATTAATTATTTTTTTTCTCCCTTCATTTATTGAATACTCTGGGCAGGCACGAGCTGGTATTAGGGAGGTTCATTTTCTTCCATTCAATCCAGTGGACAAGAGGACAGCTCTGACTTACATCGATGCTAGTGGAAATTGGCATCGAGCCAGCAAAGGTGCTCCTGAGCAGGTACCCTCATTTTACGTTTTTTGTTATGTTAAAATGAGGCGAAAAAAAACTTCTAGAACCATCATAAGTAGTAACTTACTTCTTGTTTCTTATTCTTAACAAATAGATATTAGCCCTTTGCAACTGCAAAGAGGATGTCAGAAAGAAGGTTCACTCTGTGATTGAAAAGTTTGCTGAACGTGGACTTCGATCTTTAGCAGTTGCTAGACAGGTTTGCTGACTCACATTTTTACTCTTTCTGATTCATTGGAACAATCTTAATTGTTAAATTTGGCTTATATTATTTATTTGCAGGAAGTACCTGAGAAGACAAAAGAAAGTCCAGGGGCACCGTGGCAGTTTGTTGGTTTATTGCCTTTATTTGATCCACCTAGGCATGATAGTGCAGACACCATCAAAAGAGCTCTCAATCTTGGAGTGAATGTAAAGATGATTACTGGTAATAATACCGTGCATACACTATTGTCTTAACTGATTTTTCATTGCTTATTTTTTTTTTTTTTTGGGTCCAACCTTTTTAGGTGATCAGCTTGCAATTGGCAAGGAAACTGGTCGGCGGCTGGGAATGGGAACAAACATGTATCCATCTTCTGCATTGCTTGGCCAAGACAAGGATGCATCCGTTGCGGCCCTCCCTGTCGATGAGTTGATTGAGAAGGCTGATGGATTTGCTGGAGTATTTCCAGGTGGCTCTGTCTGTCTTTGTTCCCAATTTGTCTAAGGATATGAAACACACTTTTCCTGATTCATGATCGTGGGAAGTGTTCTTTTGGAACCATTATTTCCCTAGTTTGAAAAACTGCACCAAATTATACTGAGTTTTTTTATTAGCATCCTGAATTGTTTTCAAATATCCTCTATGTGTTGATTGAACTTCTGACCTTTTCTTTTTGATTTTTTTTCAATTTCAACATTGACCCAGAACAAATCAATGTTAACAATACATGTTATTCTCTCCTTTCTCCAAAATATGTCGCTTTCTTCAAATTGTTGTCTTAAATAAATCCAGAATACCTAATTATTTGAACGATTTTGTTAGGATGTGCCCTAAGTACACACATTAACATGACCCTTATTTCAATAGCACATATAACAAGTTCTGAAGCTGTACTGGAATCTTTTCTTTGTTTCTTTTTTTTTTTTTCCCCCAATAGATTCCATTTTTTATTTATATTTATTTTTAATGGGTTGTGTTCTCTGTACTTTTTATAGAGCACAAATATGAAATTGTGAAGAGGTTGCAAGAGAGAAAGCATATTTGTGGAATGACTGGAGATGGTGTGAATGATGCCCCTGCTTTGAAGAAGGCAGATATTGGAATCGCTGTTGCGGATGCTACTCATGCTGCTAGAGGTGCTTCTGACATTGTCCTCACTGAACCTGGACTCAGCGTTATAATAAGTGCTGTGCTCACTAGCAGGGCTATTTTTCAAAGGATGAAGAACTATACTGTAACTTACCCTCCATCTTCTCTTTATTCCAATCCTTCGCTGTTTTTTTCTGAAGTTTCTAAGTCTACTTTCTTTTGACTTCAGATCTATGCAGTTTCAATCACCATCCGTATTGTGGTACGTTAGCTAAAACTCTTTAAGATGTTCATAAAAACTGCTGTTGTTATATAAAAAAAATTGTTTTAATTTGTTTCTTCTCTTTAATAAATTTTCCAGTTTGGGTTCATGCTTATTGCCCTGATATGGAAGTTTGACTTTGCTCCCTTCATGGTTCTAATTATTGCCATCCTAAATGATGGTGAGATCAGATCCAGCAGTAAAATTATTCTTATTATTATTTTTTTTTTTGGCCGGGGGGAGGGGAGGGTGAGGGATTCGGCATTTAACTTTAAATTTAAGACAACATCAAGCTGACTGTCCAACTTTCCATCTATTATATAACCCTAGGAACAATCATGACAATCTCAAAGGATCGAGTGAAGCCATCCCCAATGCCAGACAGCTGGAAACTGAAGGAGATATTTGCAACCGGCGTTGTGCTCGGAGGCTATTTGGCACTAATGACAGTAGTATTTTTCTGGCTTATGAATGATACCAAATTTTTCTCGGTAGGAATATATTTTCTCGTACATAAAATTGTAACTTTACTCAAATGTTATAGATTCAATTTATTTACCTACTTTGTTAAACAATGTAGGACAAATTTGGTGTGAGACCATTGGGAGAGAAGAGGCCTGAACAGATGATGGCTGCATTGTACCTACAAGTGAGTATCGTGAGTCAGGCTCTCATATTTGTTACAAGGTCTCGCAGCTGGTCCTTTGCTGAACGCCCTGGACTGCTCTTACTCTTTGCTTTTGTAGCCGCACAGCTGGTACGAATTTCCCAATAACCTACTAAATTTATGTGCAAAGACAAATATCTCTATCGCAATGTGCTTGATATCATAGTAATGGAGTTAGTTTACAAAATAAAATTTTAAAAATAAAGACATATTTAAATGAAATACAAAAAAACGAAGTACTATATGAAAAATCCTGAACTTATCTGATGAATTTGGGAATTGAACTGGATAGGCTTGTTCTAATGGAGGTGTAAACTATTCTGTAATTTGACAGATTGCCACCTTGATAGCTGTTTATGCTAAATGGGGTTTTGCAAAGATAGAAGGATGTGGTTGGGGCTGGGCCGGTGTCATCTGGCTTTACAGTGTGGTAACATATATTCCGCTTGACTTACTCAAATTTGCGATCCGCTACGCTTTAAGTGGGAAAGCTTGGGATACCCTTTTGGAGAACAAGGTAGAATTCAAATTCTCTAATAAAGGGGAATTTTTTAGTATATGATTTTGTTTGAATTTTTGTAATTTTCTTGTGGTTTTCTGACTCTCTAGTTCTGGTACTTATTTTTTTTCTTCTCTTGTAACACAGACTGCTTTTACTACAAAGAGTAACTATGGGAAAGAGGAGAGAGAAGCACAGTGGGCTACTGCACAGAGGACTCTACATGGCCTTCAACCACCGGAAACCACTAACCTTTTCTCTGACAAGAGCAATTATAGGGAGCTTTCAGAAATTGCAGAGCAAGCCAAGAGACGGGCTGAGGTTGCAAGGTGAGTGATTATTTGCTCTTTTTATTTGACTTACATATATTTTAAGTTTTGTTGCCGGAAAAAGTTTCTAGAACAATTCTTTAACCATGAAAATAGTTGAAATTCAAGATGTCTTGAGGATTCTTTGAACATCTAATTGAATACTATATAGAAAATAAATACAAATTAAAAGTGGACGTCTAAAACAAAATGGAATACTAAATCAACGAACACAAAAATGGTCAAAAATCATCATAACATCCATCCCCATGTACACCATGTGCCTGGTTATTTGGAAGGGCAAGGCACCAATGTCTTGAAACAAGTAATAGGCTATGTTACATGAACTCGGTTCTTCTCTTGTAACACAGACTGCTTTTACTACAAAGAGTAACTATGGGAAAGAGGAGAGAGAAGCACAGTGGGCTACTGCACAGAGGACTCTACATGGCCTTCAACCACCGGAAACCACTAACCTTTTCTCTGACAAGAGCAATTATAGGGAGCTTTCAGAAATTGCAGAGCAAGCCAAGAGACGGGCTGAGGTTGCAAGGTGAGTGATTATTTGCTCTTTTTATTTGACTTACATATATTTTAAGTTTTGTTGCCGGAAAAAGTTTCTAGAACAATTCTTTAACCATGAAAATAGTTGAAATTCAAGATGTCTAGATGATTCTTTGAACATCTAATTGAATACTATATAGAAAATAAATACAAATTAAAAGTGGACGTCTAAAACAAAATGGAATACTAAATCAACGAACACAAAAACGGTCGAAAATCATCATAACATCCATCCCCATGTACACCATGTGCCTGGTTATTTGGAAGGGCAAGGGCACCAATGTCTTGAAACAAGTAATAGGCTATGTTACATGAACTCGGGTACAAGTATTGATTGCGTGTGCGAGTACGAGTACGTGTCCAAGTATCAGACCTTCATGAACTTCAATTTTAGGATATTGGGATATGTATAAAAAAATGGATATGGTTACAGGGACATGCCATGGACACTTATATATTACATATCTTATAATATTCTACTATAAGATATTGTCAATTACATAGAAATGTACTTGAAATAAAATAGGATTTAGGAAAAATGTAGAGTTTCTTTCTCTCATTCATGTGAGAAGCTAGAATATTTTTTAGGGGGAACTACATGCAGGTAGGAGGAAGGAAAAAAAATTACCAATACATGGAGGGGTGCAAGTCCCCCACAATCTTTCATTTGCACCCCACCACACATTTGCACCTCCATATATTTGTAATTTTTTCCCTCCTCCCACCTGCATGTGGTTCCCCTTTTTTTTACTAGCAAATGAGAATTTTTTTCTTCTACGAACATTGTAAAAAATAGAGGATCCAAGTATTGGGTATAGGTGTCGGAAACACATTCCACGCCCTTACCCCCTTAACCCGGGTACTTTGGGAGAAATAAAAGAGTCCATGTAACATAGGTCATAGGGCAAGTAGGGTACTGGACTCTGCATTTAGCAGTCAGATTTCTTTCAACAACAATCCATTTCTTTGGGGAACACACACACAAAAAAAAAAAAATGTTTTTGAAATTTTGAAAACTGTTTTTGTACAAAAATGAAATGATGTGGGGTTTTGAATTTTTCATTCTTTTGTTTCCCAAAACACAAAATTTGGGGAACACAAAAAAATAAAAATAAAAATAAAAATTGTTTTTGAAATTTTGTAAACTGTTCTTGTACAAAAATGAAATGATGGGTGGTTTTGAATTTTTCATTCAATTGTTTCCCAAAACACAAACAAATGAAACCAAAAGAAAGAAAGCAAGAAAGAAAAAGGAAAAAAACAATCAAACAGAGGCCTAATAAATTCCTTGTTTCAATTTTTTTGAGATAGAAGGCAGATTGAAGAGAGGTTGATTTAACAAATATTGATGGAACATTGTGGTTTTGCAGGCTGAGAGAGTTGAATACCCTAAAGGGACATGTGGAATCAGTTGTGAAGCTGAAAGGATTAGACATTGATAACATCCAACAACATTACACAGTTTGAGCAAAGCAAATGGCTTTTTAAACATAATATAATGGAAGCGCTTGTGCCTGTGGAATACTAGTCTCTTAACACCTTCTCTCTAGTTTAGACCAATAGAGTAATATTCTCTCTTTCTACTACTGCAAACCTCCAAGTTTTATTTTAATGCCTATTCTGGTTGTAGAAGAGGATATGTTACTTTTCTTCACAAACAAAATGGCACTTTCTACCTACACAAGTTCTCTCTCTTGCTCTCATGTTTGGATAGTAGGGTATGGAGGGGCAAAATGAATGTCTTATTTTAACTTTCATTTCATCTTTTGGTGTGTAAAAATAAATATAGAATGTAATTTTGATATATACTTTTTCAAAGTGGATTAAGATTGCCAAATGAATAATGATATATGCACGAATTAGTATACTAATTAGTATACCAATTGATGATGTGACATAATTTAAGAAGTTTTTTAGTATTTGTAATTTGTATAATGAGTACCAAATTAAGTGGGAATATCATTTCCACACAATTCCATGACAATCTCACATTTTGACTGTAAAACAGAAGCATAGACATATTATTTATCATTTCTTCATAAAGACTGATCTAATCGCTGAATTGTATTAACTCAGAAATCTTATGGATTTCTAATATCAAACCAAATAGTTTATTAGAAACTCTATTTCAACTTAAACATGCTATCTAACTTAGTTAATGGTGTCTTAGTTTCATCTAAGTGTTCAAATCTGATAAAGAAATAAGATTTTAAAAATAATTATAATAATAATTATATTGACCACCATTAATGTTTGAAAAAACACCAAAAAAAGGTCCGTCACCTTTGAACCAAAATTGACAATTTAATTAATAAAAGTTTAAAGCTTTGTTTTTCTTGTTCACATAATTCTGTAGTTTTGAATGACAATAGTTGTAGGACTATTCAACCAAAAATACCACATTTAAAAAAAAAATTATTGACTGTAAAATTCTTACTTTATTATAGCTGCTATGATTAAATAAAAATAATCAAACAAAATGACAAAAAAAACTCAATTGTCCAATTAAATTACAATAATCCCTTCTAAAAATTGAAAAAATTGCAATTAATTCATAATTTTGGTATAATTATATCGACTTTTCAATATTTTATACTTCCATAACACTTGGTTTCTTACATTAGATGGCCGTTAGGAATCAAGATGAAATAGTTGATAATATTAATGCCAAAATCACATAATGAATTGTAAAACATCTTAATCAGTATTAGTTTAATTTGATGCTATATGAAGTGCGCTCAAGGAAGCTCACCGAAAATGGTGAAGCTCGACAAAAAGTATGGCTTTCCCTTGTAGATGGAAGGGAGAGGATAGAGATTGTTGATGGAAGAACTAGACTCATGGCAAGATGCAGAGAAATGGTGGAAGGGTGAAAGATCAAAGAAGGCAAGCTAGAGAGAAAAGAGTATGGGAGACATCCCCAATCCCTATTTCCACTCTAATCACCCTCACTTTTCCAAAGCTTTGATGCTTCTAAGAAAATAGAGATGGTAGGTGATTGATACCTAGAGCTTTACGGGTGGTGTGTATTTATATACACCCAAAAATTGGCTTAGTGAGCAAGCATTTTTTTGTGGTGATGCCATGTGTCCAAGGGACCACATGGGGAAAAGATGCTCTCTAACTGCCAGTCCGAGGTAATTATGACCCTCGAGAACTCTGTCTCTCCTCCACAGGCATCCCTTGAGTAGAATAAGAAGTTCGAGGGTACTATGAACTACCAGGGAGAACCTTTATCTTCAGCCACCAGATTCTTTATAGAGTGACTTCTAGGTGCACTAATTTTTGGGTTCATTGAACCTTTCGGGCTCCGAACATATAATCCCCCCTAGATTAGGGTTTGCGTCATTTCTCCTTCATGCTTTTCTTGTCTTCCAAGAATCATGTAACTTGCCTAAGAATTTTGAGCCTTAAACTCTTCATGCTTTTCCTGCCATTGAGATTTGGGCAGAAAATTTGAATTTCAAGTATTCAATTTCCATCTCTTACAGATGCGTATAAATATAACCCATTTTTGTTATAAGATGTATTGAAGAAGTTTGATATGAAAATATTAGAAATATCATTACATAATTCAAGAATTTGAAAGAAAAATTATGACGCTCCAAAAATCGAGAATATCAAGGAATATAATAACAAATAAATACAGAATTTTTCTAAGGTTACAAGTATGACAACCCAAAACCTGATCTAAGGTGGAAGTCTAGGAAATGTTACTAATGAGTCATTTGGTTAATAATCAGGTAAGATCCCAAGAAAGATTGGGGGAGTCAAAATGGCCTCCTTTCTAAGCCCAATCTCCTTAGATAGCAAAACTACATTTTTAACAGATCTTAACAAAGTATTAACACAAGTTCCATATAACTTGACAGAAAATAAGGATAGGTTACAATGAGACCCAAAAAATCCCCTCACATGGATTATTGAAGAGATTCAACGAAAAGATGAGCTTAGCTCCTGTAGATCTGCAAGAATGAACATAGTCGGCGCCACCCAACTGGGGTTGCCGGCCGAAGACACTCCGATGATAAAGTTAGCAACTTGAATCAAATAGAGAAGATGAAGAACTCCAGAGAGCGAGTGTGCTGTGCGGTGCAGAGATCTATGACATACCTTCATTCCATATGATGCCCTCTTTTTATAGATGGGGGTGTGATATTTACTTGATGGGCTCCCTTGTCTGGGCTGGGCCCAATAAGCTAGTATATATTTTTTTCTAACTCCCACAATTGTCCCAAAACTTTTATTATCTGCGGTAGAAGAAATGAGAGTTTTTATTACTGAGCTACGCTGTTCAAATAGATGTTAGGTTTTTTGATAAAGAACATTCTGGATAAATGAATAAAATGTATGAATAAATGACTACATGAATGCATGTATGTTTGAATGTATGTATAAATGTACGTTTGTCTTGAATGTATGTATAAATGTATGTACGTCTATCATAGTACGAAATTATATCACATGAGTTCTAAACAAATCATATCATAAACGATGACTTATCATATCAAAGTTCACAAAGCATATATATATGGTACATCCAATAGTGCACGACGGGACCATATAAGTCTAACATAGGGACCCCTTGGGTCTATATCAGAGATCTCTGTAACGATGCCATAGGCCGCGGTATCATATCCCCCGGGTGAGGGTCGAAGGTCGCGGTATTATAACCCCCGGGTGAGGGCCAAAGGCAACGGTATTATAACCCCCAGGCGAGGGCTACACAAAGGATGCCACAATTACTATTGTATGTGTTGCTCTGAATTCGAAGACCTTTGCTGATGGTGTTCCGTGCCGAGTGCGAAGATTGCACTGTATTCGGAGACTTTTGCTGATGGCGCTCCGTGTCGAGTGCGAAGATTGCGCCATATTTGAAGACTTTTGCTGATTTTAAATGGCAATCAGTTGTCAATATTGCAAGGATTTTGAATAGTGCATCTCGTGGCATTGATTGCCTGTACCAAATGATAAAGAATAGAATTGCTCCATTGTAAGGAATTGCTTAATGGAATAGAAACGAGTTGAAATAGGTGTTTTAATTGTCCAATGTATATTTTCCCCATTGTTTTCGAATGACAGTTGTTAGTTGAAAGAAATACAGAGTGGACACTGGCCAAAAGTGTCGGGGAGTAAGTTGAGAACAAAGTGTTGATTGCCCCATTCTTTCGAATGATAGTTGTTAGTCGGAAGGAATTCATAATGGATTCATACCAAAATTGTTGAGGATCGGTCTGCCATGTTGCGGGGCAGGTTTGGCTTTGGTGACGAATGATTTTGGCTGTGATAGGTGGTAAGTCGCCAAATATTTTCAAGTTATTGAAGTCGGCAATGATCAAATACCAAGCTTGGCGGCAAAAATGTTGGTTGAGCTGCGACGGAGATGTGGCAAAAATCGACAAATTTTTGGTATGGAATCTGCAAAATTAGACCATACAAATGTGTTCAGAAGGCTCCAAATAGTTGGAAACGACTATTGAATCGTTGTAATCGAACTCCTGATGGCATAGTTTGAGCCAAATGGGTCTGATGGCTCAGATCAGATGAGAATGGTGCTCCGCGAACCACTGGATAATTGCCCGCATATCAGCTTGCGTCACAGGCTGCATGTAAAAGTTCAGTGCATCGGCTTAGCGTTCAGCTCGGTGTGGTGGCTACACAGCTCGGCTCATTGGCTCGGTTAGGTGGCTTGGAAAAAAGAATAGTGAAATTGTTGCCTACAAGGTTTGAACTCACACCCTTATGAAGAATGAGTAACACTTAACTACTGTGCCACACCAAATCTTGTTGTTTATATTTTGCAAGATATATATTTGAACTTGATTATGGATCAGCCATGGAATCTCTTGGGTGTAACGTAGCCGCAATGCATGCAATAATTTATTTTATTTGCCAACTTGTGGTCGTCTTCTTCAGCAAAATAGGTAAATTTCTGGGCAAACTTCGATTGGCTCGTACCGCTTCATTTTAGCTCTGATTTCGACGCGGTTTGTTGTGTTGGACTCGGCTTAATGAGTACTTCACGCGGTTTGGCGAACTTTGGTTACTTCTTGGCTCCTCGGGTTAGTGGGTTTGGACTCCTTGAGTTGACACAAATCCACTAGTATTTTTAGATGTGGAGTTCAGCAAGCCGAGATGCTAGTTCTATACCGAGATAGTAGCGCCAAACAATATTGCTATACTTCCTAGAATTAAATCATGAAAGTCATGCCGAAGAGGTAGATGAATTAATATGTGTGGTTGAGTAATCTTGCCGAGTAAGCAATGTTGCAGAATAATGTTGCCGAATAATGTTGATACACTGCTAATCAAACCATAAGATTGTTACAGAAGAGATAGATGAATTAATAATTATAAATGCACTTGAGCTATATATATATATTTTGTTGGTGTTCAACTCTTCAGTGTTGTGGAGTAAGAGTAGTGGTGAGCATGGTTACGCAATGTTAGTAACTCGGCAAACTTGTTGCGGTTAATGATTGTCGAGAATGGAAGTGTTGCGGTCCGATCGTCCGTTGCCGAGCTTGACCAAGGTGGCGAAATCCATTCCTAGAAAACAAATCATCTTGCGAGATGATGACATGGCTGAGTGACATGGGCGATCTCACCAAAAAACCTTGGTGTGGTTGGAATGAGCTTCGATTTTATGCATGCTCAGTGAAACTTATTATCGGCCTTTTATTGACACCAAATGGCTTGCACCTTTTGCAGATAGACTGTCACAAGTCCGCTTGGTGAGTTCGAAAAATCGGCGGTGATCCAAAGTAGTGAACGAGCTACTTAGTATGTCGGCGAACGCACTTTGTTACCGCATTGGTTGCACTTTGTTGCCGAATTGGTTGCATTTTGTTGCGGAATTAGTCAC